GGGGGGTGGGGTAGGCAGCCATGTGGGCACTACTATTCTATGCACTTCTGTGCTGTATCTGTTGCTGCTGGGAAATGAATATTGCTAATGTAACTTGGAGCAGCCCCAGTGTTACTCTACACCACAGTAGGGCCAGACTCCAAACCTCAAGGTTAAGGGAAGGGGGCCCAAAGCCATCTCAGCCTCTTTCCAAGTTGGACATTTTCAGGGCCTCATCCTTTTTTAAAGGGTAATCCAACATTGAGTGTTACAAAGCTCTGAGATTGTTACCAGCTGTTAATTATTATCCATGGGCAAAGACAAGCTTTCAAAATATCTGTGGTTGGGAATGTCTGGTCAGAAGTGACCTTGAGAAGAACAGATGGTAATGGTTGGGTGAATGAAGTAATAATGAAAAGCCTCCATTACTGTACTTTACTGCTCTTTAATGAGCATAAAATGAATAGAGCGCTAGTTAATTTAGCCTTCACTAGGGTGGGCGAAGTCTCTACTGCCAATAAATAATTGCTTTTAAGAGTTTATAGAAACATGGCATTTAGAGATGATGTGAGAATCCTGCTTTTCTGGCTCAGTTATGTACCACGTCAGTAGCTGGTGGCATTGTAGATTTTGGATGTCTGCAGATTCAATCAACAATGGAAGTCTTTGAAACAACCGAGTCCAACGGTTTTCTTTTGCTATGCTGCATTGCTATGTTGTCCTGTTGTGATTTTACTTCATGTCACCAAATGCTTTCGGAGATAGTGTCAAAACCCTGTGCAGCCTGCAAGGTTTTTGCTCAGTGTAAAGTGTGGCTCTCAGTGGCTGACTGCTGTGTGCACACTGCAGCAGTAGGTAATGGGAGCGGGTGGCAAGATTGCTATGAAATCCAGGAAAAGCCTGGGGGATGCAACTTATTCGGCTTGAATAAGTTCAAGCCAGCCCTGCTTGAAATTCAGTGGCAGTGAAGTTGATGGAGGTAAGGGGTGAGTTCTGTCTGTTGAATGAGCAAGTGCTAAAGATAATTTTTTTCTGTTTCCTGGGATGGAGTATGACTCCCTATTCTAGACTTGCAGCATCTTGCTAGTGCCTGCCAGTGCTGCTTAAAGGGAGACCTGGTTGCACCTCTAGCTTGTGACATGTCAAGACATTCAAGGCTTCCAGGCATCAGTGCTTGGAGCTAAGCACCCAGTTCCACAAAGGGACCCTGTCTTCAGTAACAAAAGTGAAAGGTACCAAGCACCCCTAAGAAGGGGACTTTATTTGTGTAAGTGGCTTTAGATGCTCAGGTTGAAAGTCCTGGAAGTACAATTACTTTTGATCTCATCCTTGCTGGAAACAGGGGTTAGTGAACCTTGAATGGCTGTGGATTTGGTTATATTAAACATCACATGAGCTGTTAAACATGTACTTTACCAACATAATCGGAGAGATTCACTGTCTTGGCTTTTATTAGTAATCCTTGTTCCGCTAGTTCTTTGTACAGAGAATCGATGGTCCTACAGACAAGAGACAACTCAAATTCTAGGGAACTGTGAGTAAAAAGTCAGTTCTTCAACAATGAAACTCAGTTATTTATGCTTCCACAGCTTTATAAATGTATTTTGTAACTCAGAGGTTAAGGTGATTAGTTCCATCAATATGTTATCAATAAGTGCCTCTTTCTGCATTATGCCAAGGAATTTCTTTTACTACCTCGCATACCACACTGCTCCCTCTCGCAACGACTCCATTACCCGTTTCCAGGTGATGCAAGATCAGTTATGACTTGTGTAATAAACTCATTCATTAATATCAATTACTGGGAAATTATTTTTAAATTATATAGTAATAGCAATCCTAACACTACTATACCTATTCACTTAGCTCTACAATTAGTAGTAATTCATTAATTCTTCCTGGAATTTATTCTGTTTGTAATAGACTGAGCCTCACCTTGTCAGGAACATACTGGGAATGGCTCTACTGGAGCAACCAGTGGTCCTTCTACTGCAGTGTTTGGGTGACGCTGGCCGGAGGAAGATTGGGGAAAGCACGGCAGAAGCTATGGAATAACTTGCCCCAAGGAAGGAGGACTTCTTCCTATCTCCATTAGTGGTTGAAAATAGCTCCCAGTAATTGAGGGTTTAGCACACTTAGGTTCGTGTCCGGTCTCCTATTGCCATGATGTTTTTAGTCTCTTTTGAGGGTTAACTTCAATGATGTTATGTGGCAATAGGAACTACACATTAATATTGCTTTGAGGAATTTACAAAATGAATAAGCTTATTTGAAGCCCTGGTTATACTGTTAGGGTAAACAATACTGATTTGAACCTTTCTAGGTCTTTCGTTGTTGTGCCCTTTTGTGCACTATCTTTCTTGGTGCAAAAGGGTCCCAGTTACTTCAAGATCTAAACTTTTTGTCTCTTTCTGCCACCAATCTTAATTGGGACATTTTGGTATTGCTACAATAAAAATATTTAATAGTAGCTCTCAGCTGGCTAATAAAATCAAATATATAACTTGATCTGTAGACTTTTTCCATTTCAGCTGGAAAGTTTTATGTTTATGCAGTGTTAGAGCAGCACAATTAATATAGGAGTAGTGATAAGGAAATACAAAATTTAACGCACCTTCAACATCGTTGATTTTGCTGCTCCGGTTCCTCCTTTCATTGCCAGTGATTTTATGTTCAGTGTATATCATAAAATGAGCAGAAGGTAGAATGAGACTAACCTAGCATTTCTGTTGGGAGCATGACTTCTACTTTTCCTGTCTTATTATTTTTACTGTGCAAGCTTAATGATGCATGCCCTTAGTCTCCTCCAAGTATGATGTGATTGGTCTCCTCTATTCACTAAAGCCCCTGCGCTACCTCCACTATGTCAAAAGAGATGAACCTGAACTCCTCTTCGCTATTTATGAAACGCTTCCTCCTTCCCTGCTCAGCAGGGAGGAGCAAAGCATGGACCCAAAATGCCAAAGAAATTCTGATTAAAAGCCAGCTACTAAAAAGCATGTGTGTTCTATAATGCTTGTATGTTTTAGTAAGTTTACTCTTACACATACCTACTTCTTATATGTAATTTTAAAAGCACAGACTATATGTATACTTGTTAGGCTTTGGCAGTGTTCTGGCAGGAGAGGTCACGCTCTGTTATAATCCATGATATGTTTATTGTCAATATTTGCTTGGAGAGGTTTTTTGTTTTAAACCAAGTAAGAGCTCATTCATTGATTGTGTAGTGGTAGCACCCAAATGATTTAGTCCAGGTCTCATTGTGCATGTCTTGCCCAAATGGATTATGGGGCAAATCCCATGTGCTTTCTCCTGCAGTGACTGAGCGAGCTTGTCGTCATGTTGTTCTCCAGCTCTGCTCTCTTGGGAGCTCAGTCTGTTCCTACCCTGTGCTGCTGCTGGGTCAGCAGGCCTCAGTGGTGATGCCTCTGTGTAGGTGTCTGTATTGTTTGTATAGGTGACAAATGGCTGGATTATCAGTGAATTCATCATGAGATCACTGAAAACTTAACGTCAGATGAAGAAATCCTCTCAAATCCTTCAAATAAAATAAGGTCGCTTAAATGAGCGAGGATACGCAAGAGACTGTCAGGCTTGCCAGAACTTGTATTGATAAATAAGACTGATTTATGATATGCACATTTTTACCTCAGACACAAAGGCTGATTTATAGAGCACAGGGGCCCATCTGCAGCCTCCCTTCTGACTTCGGTTTGGAAAATTTGACAGTCAACAAAACTGCCAGGTGCTTCTGCACCTGCTTGAGAGGGTTGGAAAGGGAGGTGAACTGGGCTTGATATCCTGCCAAAATGCTGCATGTATGGGAATTCACCTCACTAAAGTTAATGGAGACTGGCTATTGTGGGATGTTGCAGAATGAGGACCTTAATTTGCAGGTATTGCTGAAGACAGTAAAACAACATTTCTTCTGTATATCGTTAAAGCAGAAGGAAGTGTGTGTTGTGTAGAGTGTGTCCCTTCAGTGTGTTGTGCCTTGAAGCCATCAGCTGGCCTGGGGGGAGAAGAGCAGTGAGGAGGTGGGGGCATTCACTGGGAATGCAAATATGGTTTTCATAAAAGTGCTTCAGGCTTTTTGGTTTTTGTGTGGTCTTTCTTTGGCTCCTTATGTATCTTTATAGCTGTTAAAGATGTTTTACTTATTGTAGGGCTCCTGATGCTGGTAAGCCTAAAAATGCTGAGATTGTCCTTTTGTAAGTAAAAACTGAAAGACTTGACAGTGTTGCAAATATGAAGAAGATGCAGTCTATCACTGTCTGAATCTCAGGTAGACAGCCTCAATCTTTTACCTGTTTGGAGTCAGATCTTCCTCAATCCTGGACTTTTTCTTCTTTTTGATCTTCCCTTTTTTCTGAGGACCATAAAAACAAGTAGGAATTAATGGTCTTGATACAGCTGTATATCTGAATCTGAAGCAGGGAGGGCTGGCCAATAAACATTTCAGTGTTTGTTTCTGCAATCTTCATTATGGAAGAACCCAAAGGGAAAAATTACATCTCTGAGTGCCCTGAGGGAGGGAAGTCCTGCCCCACTTATACATGCATGGGAGATGTCCCCATTTATAGATGCCTCACCAAGGTTTGGGAAAGGCAAAGGACCCTCTTTCACCGTGTTAAAATATATAAGCAGCTTCCCTGAGGTCATGCAGGGTGGACTAGGTAGGAACCGAACCCGATCCTTTTGGGCCTCCAGCTTGCCTCCTAGCCATTAGATATCCTTTCTGCCTTTTCTTTCCTAATGCCCTTGGGGAAGAAGCTTGATGAGGTCAGAAAAATGAGAGCTGCTCTTTGCTTGCAGAATGGGAAGGCTATGTATTGTGTGACTAGTTTCTTTACGTATTCCAAAAAACCATGGAAAACATAAGACAGACATGTGAATCACTTATGCCAGGCCCCTCAATTAATTACATGGTTAGGGATAATTAGCAGAGGAGAGAGCATAATGATGCACCATGTGTTAGTGTCCAGGCACCATATGCTAGCAGTGTCCAATACTGGTGTCGGCACTTGGGTTCTGCAAAGCACTTCAGTATGACTTTGGAACTACTTACATGGTAACGTTCAAGCACAGTGGGACTTGTTCAATGGCTTAAATTTAGGCATGTGCTTAAATGTTTAGTTGATCAAGACAGCTTATTCCTTCTAAAAGTTTATGTTCACTTTCCTGGGAATAGTCATTTATGTTAATGAATAGTTCTGCAGAGCTCTAGAGGTTATGTTGGCGGTGGAGGAAAAATCCCATCCACTCACGTGAAGAATGCTGCTTTTCCTGGAATGGATCAGCAGCAATTAGAAATATGTCAATTGTAAGTTTTCAAGTAATCCATGGTTGAATTACCTGTAACTGTTCACTGTGCAACAAAGATTATCTAAAAGAAAATGTAACTTTAATTAAACCCGGAGTTATATGGATAAGCTAACTGGAAAAGCTGGTATTTTTAATAGTTTTGGATTAGAATAAAGCAAGCAACTTTGCTTCTGCAGACCTGCACCTCAGGCTTCTTTACATAAACAAGCTTAGTAGCAAATATTCCTTAGAATGTGCAAGTGGTGTTCTGCTTAAGGAAACAAAAGAAGAAGAAAAGCTCACTTCTATCTACATGTACACTGTAGATACATAGTGTGTGTGTATATATACACTGTACTATATATACACACTAAACATATATTGAATTTATTGGCCAATTGGTATTGTCCTCAAGGCAGCTTCACCAATAAAGTAACTCAAGAACAAAACAAAAATGTACCATGCAGGGGGAAAAAATGTTTTTCTAATTAGTATCAGCGTTTATCGGGGATTTGCCAAACACTAAGATGCAATAAGGGGAAATATGAATTGTAGACAATGGCTTTCCTCCAAAATGTCTTATTGAGAACTGCTTTTACTTAGAAATGATAGTGTTAATGAGTGTGAACATCTTCACTTCTATAAAGAAAATCTTGTTTCTCTGAAATGTCAGTCTAGCTTCTGTGTAGCCATCCATTTACTCAGCTATGTTCTCCTTTGACATGTCATTTAATGCAGTTCACTGCACAGCATTAGTTGGCAGATGACAGGACATCGCCTTCCATGCTCAGTGTGGTATCTTGTCTTAATGTGTGGTCCCATTAAAAATGTTTCGGGTAGCTCAAAAGTTGCTGCGAGCAAACATAAGGGACAGGCTTGAAGCCAGATTCCAGAGCAGAGTGTCTCTGGTGTCAGAAGGGAGAGGGCAGGCGAAACGTCTTCTGGGCCATTGCCTCATGTTGAGCTGCAAGATCTGCCTCACCCTTTGCTTGGGATTGTACAAGTTCTGCTGCAATTGGCTGCCAGCAGCTACTGCAGCCAGTTCTGTGGGAAAGTAATGAGAATAAAGTACTTCCTACATCTTTAGCTGTCTTACTGAGGGAAATGACAGTGTAAGCAGCAGTCTAGGAAGTGTTTCTTGGATCATGCCTGGGTGGCAGGCTGAGCAAGTGCAGATTTACTGGGGGCAAAACAGGCAGCAGGGAAACGTAGCTCCCACAGTTAGAGCTGGTTGATGTGATGTGTGTTCATCCCATGTCCGTGCCGCACTAGTCAGCGTGTGCATCCTCTCTGTGTTGAGAAGTCTTTTCTGGCAAAGCCAAGGCTGTTGCTACAGAGAACAGCTGCTGGTACTTGTACTGAAAAGGTCCTTATAGCAAGGTGTTCCCACTATTAAGCCCTTGCTGAATATGAGGATCTAATTTGTGATCCCTGCTGGACTGAGCTGCTGCCTCTAAAGAGGTTACAGCCCCCATAACTGTCTGAGAGCTGTGGGTGGTAATCTTTTCAGCAGCTGCAGATAAATCCAATAGGGATTATGAATCATTGTCCTCAAACCCAGCCTTTCATCACTTCTGATACAGCCAAAATTTCATATCAAGCTCTTATTTCATATCTTGACTACTCCAGTCCTATGTTTTCTGGCCTTATCCACTGCAGCTTTGTTCTTCTTGGGTCTAGAATGATGTCCAAACTGTTGTCATGAGTCATTGCTATAGCTTACTCCTTCTGGGTTGCTTTGCTTCTGCCTGGCTGCATCAAATAGGGTGGTGTTTGTTTTTTTTTTTGTTTGTTTTAAAGTCTTGTGGAGATATTAGCAAGCCCTATTTTGGAAGCAACTGACACAGCTAGGTGACCTGTGACCCCTCTGTTTTTTCTGAATGCTGGCCTTGCCTTTTGTGTACGTGTGGGTATGTTCACTTATGGGCCACTTTACCTGGAGTTGGATCAGAAGCAAGTCCTTAGGGGACCAGAGCAGGAAAAGCAACACAATAGGCTAGCTAAATCACCCTGATAAACCCTTGAATGCAACTTCCAGGTCAGTAACTGCACGGAGCTGATCTATTGGCAATTATGTTGGATACAAAGTTGATTTAAAGAAGCCAGGTCTGTGGTGGTGAATTTGGCCACAGGTTCCCAAGAGAAACACTTGTGGCTGCAAAGTTCACTGAGCACCAAGACTGGGGTACCTGGCACCCATCTGAAGTGACTATTTGTAAAGCAGCTGGGTTGTGCTGAGCCACCCAAATCAGGCTTGGCCTGTCAGCTGAAAAGGATGGACTCAGGAGAGGAACAGCACTTTGCTAAGAAAAGTTTGTGTTGGCATAGGGATGCCACTGATTTATGATTTGATTGCTGCTGAAAATGGTAGCCCTTTCTCTTTCTATTTAGGTGCTTGACAACAGATTCCTCTAGGCTGGATGTGGGGTGTGGGGAATTGGACCTTCTGACATCTCTCTGCCAGCTTTCAGACATCAATGTCATATCTCTCACTGGGAGCCACTCCTCCCTCAAATCTTGCTCTCAGCCTTCCTTTATACAGGTGCTTATAATCCTAGCCATGGATGGCAGATGAGCTGTTTCTTTACACCTGCCACTAGGCAGAGTGAAGAAAGGCAATTTGCAGCAGAAAGCTGAACTACTGTTTCTATGGTATCCTTATCTTCTCTCCATGGCTGTGTGGTGCCCTCCCTACTGAGAGCCCAGCATGCTGTGCGTCTCCATCTGAATGAGGACATTGGTGCTCTGGGGGTGCTGAACCACAATGACAATTTACAGCAGGATTGTCTGTGGAGCGAAAGGCTTCCAGTGTCAGTAGAGGCATGTGGTCTGGGCCTCAAAGGGTAGTGATGTGACTCATTGCATATCAGGCCTGATTAGCACAACATCCTGACGATCCGGAGACCTGTTTGTATTGAGAAGAGCAATTTGCCCTTCCACCCAAGCTGATTCTTTCACAAGTAGTGAATGGGCTGTTTATCTTCAGGGGCAGTAAGAGTAATTCTCATTCTCCATAGCGGTAAATGTAAGCTTTTCATGTTAAGTGATATCTGGAAGTTTGGAAGTCAGTGATAAAGTTCAGCCTAACAAGTGCAGCGCATGGAAATAAAGGAGTGGCATAAAGTATGGCTAGAGCTGTTAGACTTTAACTTGAGCCATCTGAAACACTGACTGTGGGGGAACAATTAGCTTCTTTCTGGAGTCCAATTCCAAAATGTCCATGCTGAATTCCTCACAAAGGGGACTTCTGAAAAGGCCTTAATCGAATTATTTCCTGAGGGACAGGGAGATTTTTAAATGTGTACTTAACAATTTTTTAAAAAACTGAACTACTTATCCAAAGGTGCCCTTGAGAAGGCAGAGAACATTCTGCACACCCCTGGGTACAGACAGCTCCCTGGCAACAAAGAAGCCCTAGTCCTACTGTGCTGTCTTCCTGCAAAGAAAGCAGAAGAAATCCCTTTACAATAGAGGGGATGGTGAAATGAGGCAACTCCTGCTAGAAAGGAAAGTAAACTCTGGTTTTTGAGTTCACTTGGAGATTACCCTTGTCACCCACTCCCCATTGACAGAGCACAGAAAGGTTTGCGTTCTCTGAAGAATGCTGAATACAGTTCTATTTGCAGGATATCCCTATGGGGGAAAAATGCTTTACATCTCGCTCCAGACATGTATGATGAGAATCCAAAAACATGACTATTTTACATTGCGTAGTTTAGAGGGGGACTGTATGGGACCTAGGACCTGGTAACACAAGCCCTGAAAAAATAGATGATTTTTGTTGAATAGCAAGGGAATAAACTGCTTCCACAACTTTCTAGTCCTTGTTACATAATCCAGATTTCCATGAAGCAGATCTGAAGTCTGTATGCACACATTGTGTTGGTTTACGGGCTGAGATGTTATTTACACAAATATTAGAAAAAGCCTTTGCCAGTGTTGTCTAGAAAAGCTTCATTCATACAGTCTTGCACTGTAAAAATGTTTTGATTAAAAACTGGATATGTCATTTCATTCGTCACCTCTGAAACTGAACTGATTTTTTTCTAAGAGAAAATCTTTTGGGAGCTTTTATGTATTGTTTAATAAGCGTTTCTTTCCTCCCTTTTCCTTCTCCCTTCTTTCAGGCTACTGGCACAACATGTGGAAACAGAAGCTAAATAAACAGCCCTCCACCTCAACCCATCTCAACATTATATTGAAGAAAAAGTTGAAATAAAGCTTTAAAATTTCAATGTGATGCTTTGAAGCAGAGTTTAGACCAGCTGATCTAGAATGTCCAAGTTTGTCTGCACATGACAACTTTGGGAGGCCTGCTGCAATATTTTGGCTATGTATCTTAACCCTCACTATTTTTAAAACTGGTTCAGAAATCCAGTTGGTATCAGGTTTCAAAGTCACTCTAGTCTTGCGTTATTAAATTGCCCTTGCACCTTTGTCAGGTGAAAGAGCATTTTTAAAGATAATTTGAGTCGAAATACTGCAAAAACAAGTGCTTACATGCAAAAAAAAAAAAGTTATAGAAATGAAATACAACATGAGATTAGGGTTGGCTGTCTGCCCCGAGCATTTTAAGTGGAACTGCTGATTGAATGGTAGGGTCTGTAAGCTTTGAGTTATTTTATACTGACATGATTTACAGCTTAAATGGTTGGGTAAGGAATTCGGAGAACCGCAAGCTGTAGAATCTTTGCATATAGTAATGCTGTGAAACTAGATGTGAACATGACATGTGTTGTGTTTCAGTGGGTAATGTATTAAATCTGTCTTTAATTTCATATATAGCTAAATTAACTTGGCTTAATCACAGTTCCCAAACCCTTCAAGAGCAAGTAGTGACATTAACTAACATGTACCTGGCTGCATGAGTACTATGTGTTATTATACACAAATGAGTGATTTCCTCAAGACTTTCAAGTTACTAGCGATCTCAGTTAACTGAATTTTTGGTGTACAAATCAAGCATATTAAGAAGCCCTCATTTAGAAGGAAAACAGCAATTGAAAACTTACTGGCACGCATATCCATGTCATTTTTGGAAGACTTTCTATTAATCTGAACCAGTCACCTTCAGAAGGAGGGGAACTGTCTGGGTTTTCTTGTTGTCTGATTGGAACAGAGGATTTCAAGATTTTCATCCCTCTTGAAAAACTGATCTATCTTGTAAAGTTTTCTCTTCTGAATAAGCCTAAGTAGTCCTAAATGATACTTTACAAAAGTTAATAAGAGCTAAGAAGGAAAGGCCCTGAAAAAACTCATTGAGTTTTTTAAATACTTTTGACTTCATATTCAGTAGATGTAATCATTTTGCTGTTGATATCTGAGACTAGGGTTTACTGATCCCAGTACATCTGGGCAGAGAATTGAGTTTTACTTTATCACAACTTGCTGCTCTTACCTCACTTTGACCTTCACTCCTCTTCCCTTTTTTCTCTTCATCATTCTCCTTGTCAACAACTAGTTTGAGATTCTTCAGTTCCTGTCGCATCAATTTGTCAGTCTGTCCAGACAAACACAGATGAGTCTTTTTCTAAGTCTTCTGTTCTGCCATCACACCTTAGACAAATGTACAGCTAAACAAGCATTAAAGAATAGATAGTAGACACTCTGGAAGGAGGTAGGATCTATGCCAGGGCCAGTTCTTACAACCACAGAGAAATATATACAAAGGCAATGTATGTTATTAGTGTCCTCTTAGTACTGTAAGCACACCTGCACTCTGATCTCTTCCTCCACTTCTTCCCGCTTCTCTTTGATCAGCTCTGGGTCACACTCCTGGGGGAAATTCCATCCCTCGTCTCTGTTCTGCCAAACAGCTGTTATTCAAAAGAAAAAAGGGAAGAAAAGTTACAGAAGCCATTGGTGTCTCCATCTGCTTCTGGAAGCAAAAAAATAGGTGGTTGCAGGCAGCTTTTATTAAATTATTAGCTGCATGAAAGCAGTAGGCTCTAGGGACCCCTTACCAAGTTCAGAGCCCTGTTGTGCTAGGATCTGTAAGTCCTGAGGTTAACATTTTTTTTTTTTTTGCCTTGGGCTGTAAATTGGTATTGATTTCAAGAGGATAATAATTGGATATTGAGGTTGTCATTTTCTGGTTGTAAAGCTGAATGCCTGGAGTGTTGTTCACCTGCAAGAGTAGATAGTACAGTATTGGCTGAACTGTATTGTGCCCTGTGCTGGTGTTCTTTCGCTCTCTGCTTGACAAGATCATGCTTAAATCTTTACCCTGAAGAAGCCCCAAAGATGGTTCCTGTCCTGAAGAGTGTGCTTTCCATGCATGTCTCTTGGATGGCATGCAGCAGGCTTGGGGAACCAAAAGAAGGTGTAACTTAAAACAGGAAACCTTCCTTTTTCTCTCCTACTCAGTTACCTAATGTGAATTCAAAGAGGACTTTCAGCTGTTGCAAGTTAGCATTTGAACCTTGCAAAAGAAGTTAGTCTTTGTCATAATTCACATGAGCCTGAAATATATCCCAGTGCTCCTGGCCCATATGTAAAGGACTGCACTGAACATGGAAACGGGATGTGAGGGGACCACCAGTCTGACAGAGCAATAAGCTGTATCCAACCCATTACTGACACAGAGTCATGCCGAGTTTTAACAGTATCTGGGGAGTTTTAAGCTTGACAGTGATTGAAGCAGTTTCCTAAAAACACATGTAGCCCATCTGATATAGCACCTTTATCTGTTAGCATTGTGTAGCATGTGTAGAAGATGAGTAACAAGGAGACCCAACTCCAGGAACAAAGTAAGCTGGTGCTAGCTGATGATGAAAAATTCTGTTTATGATAAAGCATCTGACGATGATCCTGAGGTTCAATTCTTTATTTTTCTGAGGCAAACTGTAATTTGCACTTTAGAAAGAAAGCTAAATGAAGTCTGGCAAGCTCTGTCTGCCTGAATTCTCTGCTATTACCAAAGGTACCTTTTTAATGGAACTGCCTCTCCTCTTTCTACGTTTTTGGAGCTAATTTAAAAGAGGACAATTCATATCTTTCACTTCCCTGCATTTCAAGCCCCGATAGTATCTCTATAATGACAGCTAATCTCCAGCAGTATGTGCTAATTCAGTTTCCAGATGATTTAGAATGACAGCTTTCTACTTTAAGACATAGGCTCCTTCATGAATCTGTTTTGCACAGGGTATTCTTTCTGTACCTACTGCTATTTCTAAAGCACTATAAATTCAGAAAGATTTTCACAGTACCCATAGGAGATCATTCAAGTTTTAGTCCAGTTAATACAATACTGGCTGCTATCTTCGTCCTCCAAGAGATTTTAGACTCTTAGACGTGCAGGGTGTTTGTGGCGTTACACACAGGGAATAGTTTTTGCAGGTGAGCAGTCTTAATTTCATAACTAAACGTGGTAGAGAGAGAGAGACGGACAGCGGTTTTTTGGCAATAAGGAAAAACTCAGAAGTATAGATGCTAATTTAAATTATTCCCAGGTCATCAAATGGTTTGACAGATGCCATATAATATTTCAAGAGGGAAAGTTGATTTGCCCTAGTTAGAAGGTGCCACCTTCCAGGGTTACTAGTTTGGAATTTCAGCCTTGGGGAAAGGGGATATTACGTGGGAGTTGTGTGAATTTTTAAATACTTTCCTGGCTGGGTCAACAGGTTGCAAGTGCTATGTTTTTACAGGGGTCCTGGGTTTTAGGTGTTTGTTTTTCATAGAGGGATCCATAGATTTTTATTTTGTCTTTTCAGAATTGTTTGTTGTCATTTTGTAAATGGATCAGTGGTTAATATCCATGCAGGCTAACCAGTGATAGTCCTCGCACAGCTCAGCCTGTCACCTTTGGTATTACCTGGCAATGAGTTGAGTGCTATATTAGCCACTAGGTTAGAGGTCCCTAATTTTAGAAGGGAGATCAATAACTCATGGGTGTTAGCTGCTATGCTGGTCTTTCATAGATCAACACAATGTTTCAAAGTTATTTTTAAAGTAAGGTCAGGAGGCTAAGGATGTTATGTTTTCACTGGCCAGTCAAAAGAGCCTGGTGTTTTGTTTCAGATAGGGTCATCCAGTTATGGGAGCTATTTCTGTGTGCGCGTAGGGCAATTTAAATCACCTCTTCTAAAATGGAGCATGATTATCTTTGTGTTATTTTATACATACACCTCTCTCTAGCTGAGAATCCAAAAGAGAGCGCAGCCTGCTAATGGGACTGCAAGCATCAGCACCTTGGGCATGTTTTTGCTGCAGGCTAGTAGGTAATTCCAATATCTTTGAATATCAGATACCAGCCTATGACTAATAATTGAAATGTAGCTCAAGACTGAAGCTTTTCTTCATGTGACCGCTTTCAACCTCTTGGCAACAGGGTTTGAATCTTTTGATACAAGATAAACGCATGCAATGTTACTGCACCTTACAGTTTGGCTTGAACTGTGGTTCCAGCTCAAGTATCCGCTAACACTGAACAAGTAATAAATGTCAACTGGCCACCTGTAAAACAGGGGAGCTAGCACTTTGCTGCCTCACCAGGGGTTTTATGAAGGTAAAGACCATGAGGATTGTGAGGTGATGGCTCAAACTACTTGCATTTGCTCCACATAAACTCTTGCTATTCCTGTGTAGAAGTCTGACGCGGCCTGCACAGAGGCTAGATCTTTCCAACAACAGTATATAAAATGAGTGTTTTAGGGCTTGGCAAACGCAGTTTAGCAACTAGTAAAACTGCCAAATACAGTTTAGGGAGACCAAAAGCCTTCATGAGTTCCAGCTAAGTTTAGTTTTAGCTTGGCGGAGGAAAGATATTTGGGGAGAAAAGTCTGTCACTAAAATGTTTAGACCTCTGTGAAAACTGGCCTACATCTTTGAAAAGGTTGAAGTAATCTAAGAACAAAGCATGCGGTTTTGGGGGGGATGGGTAGATTTGCTTAAGGGCTGGGAGAGTGGAGTTCAAAAACCAAACTGTTCTTTTGACAGGCATTATTTAGGCAGATTTTAGTAATGCTCATAAGGGCCTTTAAACGTTCCAATTTAGGTACCTGATAGGAATTTCCCATAATCAACATCCCTTATCTCACTGTTTTCTAGATTTATGCAGTATTAAATGTGAACTTCTCTGCAAACTTGACAGGAGCTGAGTTATTTTTTACATAAACATTAGGAGCTTTTTTCCTAGGTGGAGGAGGCAGTCCAGTTGTTTTTTTTTTAGTGGGAGGGGGGGGGGGGGGGGAAAAAGAACCCAAAACAAAAAAAAACCTGCCCCCCAAACCTCTTCTAAATAATTCTGCTACAGAAATAAATGCAAGCTAAAATTTAAAATAAGAAATTCCTCAAGCTTTCATGGTCAAAAGTTGTTCTAGGTTCTCTGGTCCTTGAGAAACTGAGCCTCACCCATGGCCAGATGAAGAATAAAATTATTCTGAACAGCCACCAGGTAGTAAGTATTGTGATAAACGGGTGGCGATGATTGTGTGGTTAGGCGCTGTCCTGCAATAAAAAACAGAGGGTGGGTGAATGAGGGTTGGGCACTGTCCTGCTTAGAGGAATTAACAGCTGTTTGCTAAAAATAAACAAGGGTCAAATAGACTTGGGTGATTAGGAGGGAGGAAAAAAAAAAAAAAACTTGTGAAGCTTAAGATAACTGCAGCTATTCTTTGGAGCTTGCAAGAAGAGCTCTTTGCACTCTGAGGATTTCTGGCTGTGCCCTGCAGAAGATGCTTCCTTCTGTGTGTCTTTGGAGCTGTGAGTCCAGCTGTCAGCTCTGGTGGGATGGCCTGGAGATGAGCACCAGTGCTGAAGTCTGAATGCTGAGCTGGAGCTTCTGCCCACGCCTGACCTACTGAGTTCATTGTTCTTGAAGTGCTGTCAGTACACAATGGCGAGGAGAGGTATTCACACTGCCTTTAGGTATCCAATTCAGGTGGCTGAATCAGGAACCTAGGCTCCACAGACAGTTAATACACTACCCTGAATTGTCCTCGGCTTTGTGGCCTATGCAGGAATGTCAAGAGCCCCAATTCAGCCCTTAACTTCATGTCTAAAGTTAGTCAGCCTGAGTAACCCCCAGTTATATGCTTGCAGACCTCAAAGGATGCATCTTGTTGGGGATGGCAGTACATAAACTGTAGCATTCAACTAGACATTTGGGTATCAAATGTCCCCTATCCTTTCATAATTCCCCTAACTTATCATTACCTGAGCTAGCTGTGAAGTCTGGGTGTCTCCATTTCTCCATCCATCAACATCCGTAGTGCTTTTATTCACTCACATCCATGCCTGTGTTGGGAAGCACTGTTTAAAGCTCCCAAGCGAGGCTCTAGCCAACCATGTTTTCCACACCCTGGAGGCGAATGATTTCAAATTCAAATCTCTCAAATCTCTCTCAAATATGAAGAGCTGCTGAGTTCGCGTTTCAGCATTGTATTGAAGACTTAAGTGCTGCATAGTCTCAGCGGGGGATCCAAGAAGAGCTGAGGAGAGCTAGAAAGCTGCTGCGCTGCTTATTTGCTAGCAGCGTGCAGGGTATGTGTATTGCCAAGCCTATGTAGTAGTGTAAAACCATCCTGCCTTCTTGCTGCCTGCTACTCTGCAGAAAGTAGGGCTTCCCTACGTTGCTCTTATGGGGATCTTCACTGTTCCTGGGAGATGCTGAATGGGAAACACCGGTTTTGCTACTATTGGTTTTTGGTGGCAAGGCACCATTTGGTCCTGAGCACATAGAAAAGTATGGATAACATATTCTTGGCAAGTTAAGGATCAGTATCACCTATACTTCTTTCCTTATGTGAAGCTCCTGCTCAGTTCAGCAAGGTTCTGATGTAGCATTCAAGACAAGAACCTCCCCTTTGACTACACAGTCCCTCTATGACTTACAATACACAGGAGAAACTTGTTAGAAGGCAGAGGTCAGGCAAAACTGTGCTGATGTAAATTTGGAAAGTCAGTTGTGAACTTCTTTCCCTCCAGCCAATCCGAACCAGGCAGAAAACTTGATGCCAGTGATTTCTTAGCAGGAGGGAATAATGGAGATTTTCAGATGAGGAATTTTAGCAAGCTAGTAACTCTGCCAAGTGGGGAGAAGGAATGATGTTTTGAAAAATAATTGCTTGAGAATAAAACGTGCATGAAGTAATAGTGAAGAAGCTTAAAACTTCGATCAGATGCACTTTGAGAGCTTTAATTTGTGCTTGTCTGACCCTTGGAGGCCTATCGTGCTGTTCACCCCTAGTTCATGGGTTAAGCTCTCCATTCCATTTCAGACAAGTGCATGACTTCCATGCTCACTTCCGTGCCCAACACAAGTGATTGCTAGCTCATTTGTGTATATAGGGTGTATGCTGAAGATAAGTGGTTAGGAGATGGAGACAAAGACATCAGGTATAAAGGAGAGGATAGAAGAGATATGGGAAAAAGCAAAATGTCCTTTAATGAAAACTTTTTGATCGAAGAAAACCTGTTTTTTTTTTAATTGTTCAAAGTGAAAAATCAGCCAGTCTCCTACCTATAAAAGTCTGTTACATCTGTTAAGTTGCATGTACTTTGCTTGAGACAAGTATATTCAAAGTCCAGCAGCGTTTCCTGTGCTGCCTTTGTTTGAAAAGATGATCCTTCTGTTAAAACATGTAATCAAAAATAATTTGACTACCTGCAGTGTGGATGCAAATGACTCAATGGGCAGTTTCCCTGAATGAGAGGAAGATAGGATAAAGAACTACAGGAGTACGAAAATATTGAGGCTGAAGCCTGATCTACAGTGCAGTGCTCCTGAATTACTTGTAACGTGGATTTTCTGAAGGTGATGAAAGTGACAAGCATGAAAGCCCATGCATGTGCGTTAAAGCACTCTGGTTCTAGTCTGGCTACTTTCACCCAGATAAAAATGTACCTTCCTGTATGGTTAGCCTAATGATTTTACAGAGATTTTCCAGGCAGATCTGAGGTAGTGAGAGGCTCTCTTCTTAAACACCACTTTATCTAATGTCCTTATTTCTACAGCGTTTCATAGTTTGGGCAGCTGGCTATTTACACTTCATAGGAATGGCATTCAGATCAACCTGATTTAGAAGAGCTTTCCAGCTGTAATTGTTACCTCTTTCTACTGACCTTCGTATTGACGGCTTCCTTTCTCCATCATTGGGAGGAAATTACTGGGAGCCATTTTCCAGCCTTCCTTCTCTCCCTAGATTTGAGGGTGAGAAAAGCAATTAGAGTTTTAGTAAGTAGAAACTTAAGTATGAAAAATGTCATGTTTTTCATTGTTTTTTTCTTTTAAAAATCTGTTTAGAGCAACAAGAAGCTGTTGTTTCATCACACCATAGATTGAGATGTTAAATAAACCACGATTTTCCTAGCAGGTTATCAGAAAGTTTGATTCCCTTGAGAGAAGCGGGAGTCAATTCTACTGAGGTTGTGAGAACTACAAACTTAGGCTTGATTGAATCTTTAATACGGGCAGGAGACTTAAAATGTGTTACTGAAGTTACCTAGCTATTTTTTCAGTTATTCCTGGGTGGTGCAAAAAAGAAAAGGGTGGGGAATTCCCAACCTTTGGGTAATTCTAAACTGCTGAAACCTCTTTTTTATCTGTAATTGGAAGGAAAAATTGTGATCTTAGCATATTTTGCAAAAAACAGTATTTTCTTTCAACCGTATCAAAATATTTTGACATTTTCCTATCTGAAGTAAATGACGCAGATGAGTTCCTGAAACACCTTAACTTCACTGAACCGGTATTTCCGATGAAAAACTTGTCAGAAAATTATCAGTTTTTTATATTGTATCAATCATAAGCACTTAAATGTTACTAAGGAAATAGTTATTAGTGGGAAATTAGATCACTGTTTGAGGAGGGCGTGAATGTGGATTTGTGCAGGATAGCATAATTTTAAGGCTTTAATGAATGTGCAGTCTGTAAACCACTGATTATCAGCAAGGGACAGTCCCTGAAATAACTGCCTCTCCCTCCAAAACCCTCTGCTCCATATGTGCCTTCGTAATTGGGTGTCATAGCATGCCTGCTACCAGTGGATACAGCTGCAGCCAGGTCATGTGAATTATTAAATATCTATTTTTAATTACAACGTTATTACAGTAATTAAAGTTTGGTCATAAAGACATGCAAACCTAAATACTTTTCTCTTCCACCTGTGGTCTGCAGATTCAGGAGTGTGTTGATTCAAAGGTCAAGAACTATTTGGGTACAGTAGAGCAAGTGTTTGCAGATGCAACACCCGGAACTCAAACTCAAATTCCTAGTGACTCTGATGCATTCCCAGTTTTCACAGGGAGTAGGATTTTGAGATTCATCCTTGGGCCTTTTGCAGTAGACAGAATCCACCTCTGTTGTATTGGTTTTAACACTTTTCAGTGATATGTATTTTACAGAAAATGATTAAAGCATACTGTTGTAAGAGAAATAATGAAAATTGCTAATCGTTAAAAAAAACTGCAGAGAGGCCTAAAAATGGAATTGTTGCTCATTTTTAGCCTCTGAACATCATAGGGTACATATTTACATTTATTTTGTTACAAATAAGCCAATAAATCATTTTAATTACTAACTTCAATGATTTTATACGCTGATGCAAATATTGCTGTGTCAGGTTCATGGAGTTTGTTCAAAACCATTGTCTGTCTAAAGACCAGCTGCAGAATGCTGCCCCGTAATTCCCTCTTGCCTATATTAATAGTATAAGAGTCAATGTAAAGAACTTGTTTTCCTTGGAAGTCAGTTGATGTATTTTCCTACGTTCAGATGATTAATTCCATGTTTATTCTGTGCTAACTGTGCTAAAGCACCTTGAACCATCAGTGTATGTTTCAATCTAAGTACAGATATGGAAATAAATGTTTGATTATGTTTCTGAACCTTTCCAAAGTCTGACCTGTACTAAGTAATTCTCATTCTAGAGCAGGGAAAATTCTGAACTGCTCCATTGTGCACTTCTGCTATGGAGATTCTGCTCATGGATTTCACTAATGGTAAAGCATGTCTTGCTATTTAACGTTGCTGGATGAAATCTAGGGATTACGCTGCCTTGCTCATGTCCTGTGAGCAAGACAGGTTGCAGCAAGTTACTGTGCAGAACAGGTCTGGCTGGTCTAACTTATGTTCTGCCATTAGGAAAAGGATCATACGGTGCTAAAGTTGTTTTCCTTCTTAGGTGCCCAATGGGAAAGCAGATCAACACCTTACAGAGAAGAAAACAAAATTACTTTGATATCAAATGTGTGTTTTTAAAGATTGCTATCAGACTTAAGAAATACTTAAATTTCCTTCTGAGATCAAACTTTTGTTTTCTTAAGGAACTGAAGGTAGGAAAAAGTTTTTTTTCTTGACTGCATCACTATGACTTATAGCCTATACTTATTTTAATAAGAGTCCTGCTGTTAGAACTTTTCCAAATACTTCTCAACTGGTCTTAGACACTGTTTTTCCCCTGTCAGTGCTATAACCTTGGAAAGAATGTTCCCTTTGTTCTTCCTCAATGAACCATAGAGAACCTGATATAATGGCTCAGAATTTTACTTGACAGGACCTGTGGTGGCTGAAGAGATGAGAATGACATCAAGTTATAAAGCCTGAGAGCTCTATACTGGTTTTATTTCACTGCATTTTCAAAACAGCCTGTCAGAGGCGGTGAGAGGGGAGACATTCATTTTTTGGTATTGTATTGGATCTTATCTGGTAAAAGGGGAAAAACAATGAGGAATCACATGCATCTGGTAAAAGTCATGTTTTTAAGCAGATGAGTGAGTTAACCATCAGGTTTCGGAAGCTCAGGTTGGGTTTGATTTTTTGAGTGTGTCTGAACGCTAACCTTTTGCTTTGACTTAGACTGGAGTGTCTGGAGCAGCCTTTTCCATTGCCTATGCTGCAAGACCAGAAGCATCACAGGGCTTTGCTCTGGGCCAGTTGCGTAGGGAAGGATAGAGGAAAAAGGAAAAGCCTTAGAAAGCCATTAGAGGACACCTTTGTACGTGCTTCTAGTTGAATCTAGCTTATGATGAGCTACAGGATTCTAAAGCTGTGAATAGCAGTATCCTTTAAAGACAGTAATTTCAAAAGCTTTTTTAAGCAAATGCTTTTGTAAATTCATTTTTATCTGATCTTTCCCACAGAGCTTTGCAGTGCCTGCGCAGGCTTGGAGGGTTGCAATAACAAAGGGTCACACAAAGCTGAATTCCATATTAGGACTAGTTGCCAGAAGTACTGTGGATGACTCGGTATCACCATTAGTGGGCTTAGGGCAGCAGGCATCACACCCTCGGCTGTGACACCCTGAGCCGGGCTCTGCTGGCTAAGCTACAGTGAGGCAGTGCCTGCAATCCACCTTGCAACGCTTGGAGTCTGCCTTCAGTAATGCTTCAAGATGTGCACAACCAGAACTTGAAAAGTTTCATGTTCTCCATGCAGCTGTTTGCACAGGACCAGCTGCTACCCATTCTGGTTGGCATTGTGACTTCAGGCTAACAGAGCTTGGAAAGCATGTTTCTGTATGCTGCTCTCAGCCTGATGTACATCTTCATGGCAGGGGAGGGAGGGAGGAACAAAAATTAAAACCCAGACAGTTGAAGCCTGAAAAATTGTTGTAAAGGAGGCAGTTTCACACTATCTAAATAGTATCTTTGCCAGATGAACACGCTATCTAGGTTGTAAGGTGATGCTTTGATATCTTGATGGATGTTGTTGGAGAAAAGCATCTTTTCTGTTATGATTGTTCTAGGGTTAGAGTTTAAAGTCTGATTTGTGTAAAAATTGCAGCGAGGAGTAGGCTTTGCCCCAGAAAACTCCCTCTTCTCTCAGTGAGAGATTAATGACACCTATAAACAAAATTGAAATAATTTTTTTTTTCTATCTTGTAAAGCATGAAAAACAAGAACTACTGCTTCAGCAAAAGCCCACGCTTTTTGTTGCAAAGCCTATTTTTGAAGGCTGTACTGAAACTGAATCTCATAACCCTCTGGCTGCTGTACTATTTGCCAGGTGTTTTCCTCTGAAGTTGCTCCTGAAATAATTTAAAAGCATAAGTTCTGGAAAACCACCAGCACTTAACCAGTTTGAAATCCAAACAAGCTCCCAGGTGAGTACTGAGACCAGCGTTCTCACTAGTTCCTGCATGCAGATGTGGCAGTGATCAGCTTCTGTAGCCTACATTAAAAGTGGAAAAGCTCAGCTAAAGAGCTGGCCATTGTTTTGTTGTCTGCACAAGAAGCACCAGTGCTTTGAAAACTGCAAATGCGCAAAGTGCACATGTCTTGGCAACGATGTCAAAGCTGCAAAGTATTTTTCCCCTCATGTCTCCAGCCCTCTGTCTACCTGCATTAGCTCTTCCCGCCGAAGTTCACTGAGTCGCTGCCATGCAAACTCCATTTCCAATATGAGAAATGTACAATTCAAAGCTTTGCTGGGACCATCAAGGTATTTGAAAGGCTGAGAGGAACTGGCCTCAGACAGCTCCTGTCTCTGAACCCAGGCCTGAAGTCTTGGCAACTAATGTAAATTAATAGTCTCTGCCTACCCATGGCTGGACTTTGGCTCTCTTTTCACAAACTGCTCAGCATTCTTACTGCAGGAAGCCTTACTTTAACTTTCTTTTCTGTTTTCTCTTTTTTCTCTCCTTTCTTTTTTTCCTTTCCCTTTTCTTTTTTCTCCTTTTTGGTTTTTTTCTGTAAAGCAGCCTCTTCTTTGGCAGCCAGTTCTGCAGCAACCTGGAAGAGATGGAAACGAACATGAAGGGCTGGTCAAATGTATCCATACACAAGGTGTTACAGCCATGTGAGTCATGAAGCAGTGTGTTTTCCTTAGTTTCAGCTTTTCAATATCGAGGAAATCCAATATCCAATATGTTGGTTGGTGGCTGCCTATGGCTATGTACTGACCAACCACTTATTCCCTTTTCGTTCAGATAAAGGTGGTGTTGCAGTTGCAAGCAATTGGTAAAGGAGCAGGCCTCTCGCAGCTGCTGTGACTCTCACCCTCTGCAATGGTCTTTGAGGTGAGAGGGGAAAAAGGAGACCTTGAATTGTACCCAAAACCTGAAAATCTGGATTTTGGCAGACCCTGGGCATGGGAGGGGACAGAATTTCAGAGCAGCTGACCCATCATGGAGGGACTCCTTTCAGTTATGCTAAGAGTACTCAGGAGTTAGTGGAGGTGCTGATTATGACAACATATCTTTGGAAAAGAGGTGATTTCTCTCTCTGTCCCAAACTGCCAGGGCTTTTATGGAGTAAGACCAATTCCTGAAACCACCCAGAAGCCTAACATCCTAATGATATGCAACTAAAAGCCCCCCCAGACTTGGACTGTGAATTGCTCTTAGTGTTTTTTAAGGCAGATTGTTTTTTTATAGAGATGGACTTTGAGGCTGCCTTGAGGCCTGTCTAATTTCAGTATTTGGCTAAAGGTTGAAATTGTTCTAGTGGATGAGAAATACTGGAGAGAGATATAAATAGCCTAGCATCTTTATCCCTGCAAACTAATAGTAACTGATATTGGAGCTATATGCGTTTCCATTAGTTTCATTTTTGGCTGTTTATACCTCTCTCTTGGAAAAGAGGCAGAGGGTGAAACTTGTTTTTTCTACCATTCTGTTGTTTCCAGACACCCTTTATTGTGCTTTCTTGTCCCAGAGACGAATTCTTTGATCGTCAACCGGTAAGTGTAAAACAGAACATTGGTGGCCACTGAAATTTATTAATGGACTATTAATACTGACAAGACTGGAAAAAAGAGTATAGAAATTAGAAGATTGCCAAGGTTAGGACAAATGTTTCTTGTAACAATAATAATATTTGTTTTCTAAAGAATGCCTTTTAATGCATTAAAGATTGGATAGTGGAAGGAGAGGTACAACGGCTATACTTTGCACTCAGTGAAATTTCATTAGTGGATTTCCCCAAGCGTTTCAGTATCTTGCATTTAATTAAATATGGTAATTTAAACCCCAAGCACCGTTCAGTCATATCTTGTGGTGATAAGCAGTGAAGCATTTCATTCTCTTGGATGGATTGACAGATTGACTACAGCTCAAAATAGGTTTTTAGTGTCCCAGCAGGCCTGTTTTATCCAAAACCAACAGGGCTGCTCAAAGTGTATCCTTTACCATAGCACCCGTGCCCTTCCAGAAGTCCAATCTTGTAACCTCTGCCTCCAACCTGTGCTCTGCCTGCCTACCACAGGATAACCATAATGGTTTGCAATATCTCAGGAGTCCGTTTATTCAGTAGGTTTCCTGTAAGTACGCATTAAATCTACAAAAGGTTTTAATTCTAGGCAGTGCTTCTGAGTTCTGGCAATATTTTAAATGAATCCAGACTCCGATTGGGAAGACTTGCTTTCATGTTTTTATACAGAAAAATGACATGACGCTGAAAGGGGTTAGACACTTTCTGTTCTTATGAACCTGCTCTAATGGAACCGAGTTGTTGAACTGTCTATATTCTTCCGTTTTGCTTTGATCAGCTTTGTAAGGTGGCAGGAAAAAACAGTTTGTTTCCTGTTTTCAGAACCGCTTCTGTGCAGCGTGAGCTATGGGGCTATCTTGAACTAATAGCTCAGTATGGGTAACAGAGATAAATGGTGCCTGCAATGAGCACTGAGAGATTAGCTACGCAACTGATAAACACCTGTAGGACAATGAAGGTGAAGTGCCTTGTTCTGCCATGACTAGCCACTGCCTGTGTACAGAAAGACCTACCCACCCACCGAGGCAGCCTGGCTGCTAGAGAGTAAAACAAGTCCAGAGCAAACTTGAGCGTTGCTTTGTATGACAGCGTAAACTAGGCAAACCTGCTGGATGCTTACTAGAGGTGTGGTGGCTTAAGTATTACTGGTACAGGCCTGAGCTTAAAAGGCAGATAAACCTAACATGTCTTTCACTTTGCTGTGTCCCTATGTCTGCTTACTGTAGAGACACAATCTTGCATTAGCTTTGGAAAGAGAGGAAAAGGTACAGTGACGTAAGATGTCAAGTCTGAGAAACATGCACAGAGTGACTGCAGGTAGAGATTGTGTACATGCAAAGAAAACCTCTACGGTCTCCTTCCTGGACTCCTTGGTAATGCTTATGTAGGTTGAGATGCCAAGTAGTTTTGCTGAACTGAAACAAAGCCATGCAGCTGGCAATGCTGTCAGCCTGTGGAACCTGACTTTTCGGAAGTGATTCTTTGCCTCCCGAGAGAGAATGACAGAATAGATAAAAATTTTTCTTTTTCCCTGTCAGGTACCCCTTTTCTTCTATATTCCTTCAGTGCACCTTCTCCAGCTCTATTTTCACCTCTGCTTTAAGCAGTTCTATAATTGCAGAGGACTGGGACATGGTGTGAATTGGGCTGCATATCTAACCTTGAATGCTTTGCACTCTTACACACAGAAAATTTCACCTCCAGCTAGAAGAAGATGCGTGAAAAATCTGACAAAAGAAGGGGAAATAAAGGAAAGGACAAGAAAAGGTTAGTTTGAGATCCTATGCAATTCCCCCACAGTATAGTACCTTTTTTCCCATGAAGAAAATTTCACAGGAAAAAAAAAAAGTAGCTGTCTTCCTAAATTATTTCAGAGTGCCCTTTCCTTTGCCTCTTTGAAATGAGGCTGAAAGCACTCAGAAAACTCCTCATGTTGGGGAAGAGAATGTGCATAGGTTAAGAGTGGATGAATTTATTTAGTCTGCTTTTTTGCTGGTCTTGCTGAAGGACTTCTGCAGACCTAGTGGTGACTTTTCTCCAGTAACTTTTCCTTTTGAGGCTGAAAAGGCTTTCCTCTAACTGATCTTCCATAAAAGCCAAATGACTTCTCTATTCATACATTAGTTGGTGCGTTTCCAAACTTTTGCAGTTAAGTTGCTGCAATCCCTTTTTGGGAAAGGTAAGGCCGCTAAAAGCAAGTGAAGACTATGGATGGAAATGCCTGATGTTGGTGTATAAGCCGAGTATCTGAACATCCTAAGCTACCAGTAGGACCTACATGATGTTCCGTGTTCCTCAAGCACTAAGTTTTTAGAAAATTTGGGGTTGGTTCGGTCAAGCAGATATGTGAGGTATCTTCAAGAATAAGCACTTCCTCATCCCTTGTAAGAAGAGCTGACTTGGACTTCTTGCCTTTATTAGTGTTGGGGACATAAAAGAAAAGCAGTAAGAGTGTGAATTTAGGAATTCTGGAACTCCGGCTGTGGCAGGTGAGACGGTCTCAGGCCCTAAAAACATTTTGAACAGAAACGCTTAGGCATGTAGCCTAGTGTTTTTAGGGATAAAATTTTCCCAATATTAACTCTCGGGGGTGGGAGGGGAAGTCTCAGATTTCAAAGGACAAAGCTACTCCAAAAAACAAGACTATGAGCACATTTCAAAGGAGATTCTTCCTTAAGAGTTAACATCCAGTGTCTGTCTGACTCAGCTCCTGGGACTGTTGTGGCAAGCAGATGAGGTGTCACCACTTCTTCAGGAAGAAGCTAGGAAAAACTCCTCCTCTTTGCCACCCAGGAGTGGGCTGTAGTGTCCCTCTTCTTTTAGCAGAAAAGGAGACTTGCAATAAATATTTGGGGACCAATCTCAGAACAAGAATGGCTTGCACTGGTCATAGATGCATGCAGGCATGCACCAGCCCTTTCACAGTAATAGCTGTGCATGGCTGAACCTCTACCATGCTTATCTTCTCAATGAGGAGGCCTATAATGGAAGACCCCATTTCCAAAGTTTAGTTACCTAAGCTGTACAGATTGTTTGAGGCAGGAGGAAATGCCATCCGTATGTCTCCAGAGTAACACACTAAGCGTGAGACTGTCCGTTTGTGTTCCTAGCGCACGCACATAATGTGGCAAATCTGCTCCTTCCCTGCCCCTGATGCCCTTTTCAGCCTCAGGACACTTAATTACAACTCTTTCTATAGGCTGAATGTTTCTGTAAGGTGATATTATTTTGCAAATCAGAGAAGGAGACGTTATTTTCATTAATTATGGTAAGCGTGAGACTCTGTCTCATCAGGCTAGCTGAGGGCTAGTGTTCTGGATTTGTTCCATCTGACAGGTAAATCCATTTGTGTAGCTTTAATGTTTCTCTCTTGGCAAGGCATTTCTGAATATTGTTACTTTCTGATGTGCCTCTGCATGTAAAACTTAAGCTAAAAAAACAACTCCAATGATCTCTTTCTGGAAGGAATGGATTGAAAATGATGGGTGAGATTTTATTACTTCATGCGGTCTTGCAGGATCTTAGAGTCGGTTTTAACAGTCAGTCATGTGTTTCAGTCAATGATTATGCTCTAGTCTTTCTCCATTTGGCAGATGTTGCCCGAACACGTTTAAACTCACCACTGTTCTGTCTATTTTCTGGCAAACACTCCACAATGTTAAATACATTTATGAAAAATCTTAGCTTTGCTTGAAGTAGGTTTTTGACGAGGTGGATTGGGAGAGGTGAAAAGGGGTTGTTGATACTGTCTAACTTGAGGCATATAACCTAGGCTATTGATTTCAGCTGACAGAAACAAGCCATCGTGTTCAGGAAGCAAATGGAGAGCCTCTAAACTGAGCCTGTTTGCTGAATGACTTAGCTGTAGTGAAGAGTTCTCTGGAGGTGAACACATCTGTCTATTGTGTAGCCTAAAGGACACTGAGTACCATTCCCTCCCTTCTACATGGTTAATTTGAAATAATGAGAATGTGAGGTTCTGAGGTGGCTAGCTTCAGCTGATGGGACTGAGTGATTAGCACTTCTGAAAATCCAGTCTCATTTAAGAAGCATGCAGAATAGAGTGGAAAACAAAAAAAGTGAGCATAATGGTATGCATCTACTGAAAGATCTTATGGTTAGCGTGTTACTTCTCAAGTGTACAAAGGTGCATTTGCAGGATACTAGACAGTACAACTGCATAGAGACTCTTGAATAAGTACCTGACTTTTTAAAGCTGTTCCTGATGCATTTATTTGGTAAAAGCGAATAATGTTATACTTAGATGTGTGTGTGACTAGTGCTGTACTTGACTGCATAATAGCATTTTACTGTATACCTCAGAAATAGTGGAGAGTATTAAATATTAAGTAACTACTGGGGATCGCTTGCACTGCCATTCACAATCAGTGATTCATGGGGTTCACAAGGATCTTTAGCTGACAGTAATGAATACTAATTTGTGGTATAGCGTTTAAGAGTGCCAAGTGAAGATCGGGAGCATGTGTTCGCCTAGCAGCAACCACATACTCTTTTCGCCCCTTAGCTTATCGCTGCTGGATCAGATACTGAGACACAGTAATCTGGAACTGACTTTGTCCTCCGTGCACCAATTGAATGTACAACCAAAATCTCAAGGAGCAAACGTCTCTTCTTTCTGATGAGCTACTGAATATTGGCAATGAGGGGGTGGGCAGGAGAGAAGGGGAATTATGTGGCTGTTAAATGGCAACTCTCTCGGCTTATTTTCATGGTGATAAGCCTTAATGAACTACAGAAACGGATCATAATTTTGTTGGCAGCAGTATAAAGGCAAAGCCAAAGATTGTCATATCTGATGATTATTTTTGGAGCAAAACATAAAACGCCCTTATGGATAGATCTGGAACAGATGCAGTGAGATTACACTGATTTCTCACTGATTTACACTGAATCTTACATTTCTCTTGAAGAGTATATGAAGAAGCAGAGAGAAGCCTCTGTCAGTTGAGAGACAGGATGCATTTTTCCAGTTAAATAGCCAAGTACTTTGCATCAGGATCTCTCTGGCATACCTTTTTGAAAAGTATTTCTAAAATGTCATGAAAGTAGTTTGTGCAGAAGGACAGCTACATTACAAAGTCAAGAAAGGTCAGAGTTGTCAAAGGATAAAGCAATACAGAATATATAATAATGCAGCAATGGTTCGTGAAGTGATTAATTTGTATTTTATCTTCCCCAAAGTGTCTTTACCGAAGTCTTATAAAATGCTCACTTTTTAAATACAGTTCTGTCCTGATTTTTCATGGAGTTTAACTTGAGAGTAACCAACCCATTCACAGAAGGTAATATATACAAGAGGTGACATCTTGTCTCCCCTGAAATCAAGGGCAAAGCTCCCATTAACTTCAATGGGGCCAGGATTTCGTTTACTATATAGCCCAGTAGACCAGAGTGGAGCAAAACCAGTTGCCTTTGGGATTTTTAGTATGCAGGCTGACTCAGATGAACACAAAATAGTTTACTTGCCTGACATTCAGGTACAATCACAAATGTACTGAACTGTTTTTTGCCAACCTCATTCTGAATATCTGCTAAGAGTATGTGAAAGGCTTTCTGCTGTGTTATACTGGTTTAAAGGAGAGGGAAAAAAAGGGGTCCAGGAAACTCTTCGGAAATGGATAAATTCCAGTGAAGACTTGCTGGGAAAGTAAGGGTTCTTTTTTTCTTCCAGGTATTTTCCTTTTATGCTGGGAAAAACGGGCAGTAAAACAATCTCTAGGCTTTAGACTTCCTTTATTTTTTATGCAAAGAGAAAGCAGATGCTCAGGAAAGGCAGAAAAATAGCTGAAGGTGGGAATTCAAAGTTGGATTTAGGACAGGGAATCTACCACTATATCCAGTTTTGCTTGGTATAAGTTCTTGTCACATTTTCTGAACTGTTTATTCGTGCTGTTGGCAGGTCTAATTAGCATCATGTGCCCCGAAGCCTTCTTCAGTAATAAGCTATACCTGCTGGGTGGCTCCCCTGCTGCTTAGAACAGCCAACAAAGCCCTCTTGACTCTGGCATGTGTTTCTACTTTAGAGGCTGAAAGCTTAACGGACTGATCTCCTTCACTCTGTCTGGGACTGAACAACAGGGCAACTTAGACGGAGAGACCTGCAGGGTTGACCTTAGTGTATGCTGAACCAGGCTAAAAGCAGGAGCACACCCTGAGCTCAGTTATGCGAGGCATGGAGAGCTACTATTTGTAGCAGTTTTCTTGTGTATTTTTCTAAGCAAAGTAACTAATGGTTAGAGTACTGTGCTTTATGCTGGGCTAGCCTGTATTTACATCCCCGAAACCACAAAGATCCTGCTGGAATGCCCCAGGCTCTTCCCTATGATTCTGGGAAGGACTGAATCCAAAACGCTGTTTTATTATACTTGTGTTAGAACATCAATTGCAGGCAGTTGACAACAGTCCCTCTCAACAGCAGGACTTCATTAAAAGGACCACAGAGGTCAGTTTGTGACTGTTTAGTTTTCCTAGCCCACTAGTAGCCACCACGCCTGGTTCACTTACGGGCCAAATTCTGCTCCTGTGTGCAGGGCTTTCTGTTTAGTTTCCCTCAACAGACTCATCCTGCTAAAATCATTGTAGAGGGTGGAAATGGCTCCAAATGCCAACTACTGCTTTTACTGCTCCAACCGAACTTAATCACATTCTCTGTGTGACACCCAGATGATCAGAGGAAGAGATTATCAGCTGCTTTTATTAGCCAGAGAAACCAGAAGAGAGCTTTTACCAAAAGAAAAACAACTGAGACCACTGCAAAAAGATATAAGATAAACTAAGATGCTTCCTTCACTTGAACTTGCCCCTTGTTTAAACTTGCTTAATGGGTCCTTAGCAGCAAATCAAGGCTTAGGCCCACCTGTATAAGTAACACTTTTCTGGTTTAACTAACCTAATTATTGGTAGACTATGCTGATACTGAATGCAGACACACCGGAACCAATTTCATTCTCTGGGTTTAACCGAACTTCATAGCTTTGCGTATTTAAACCAAGCTTCTTTAGTTTAGAGTTTAAACTGCCACTAGCAACTAGCAACAGTCTAACTATGTGGATTTTGTAGCGAGCCCTTTGCTGTTAACTGTTACAGACACTCACTAGTCTGTTATTTTCAAGCCTGAGCACCTTTAGATGTGACTAGGTGGCTCCACGTTCTGAACACTGAACAAATTTTGGGACATCACAGAATCACAGAATGGTTGAGGTTGGAAGGGACCTCTGGAGATCATCTAGTCCAACCTCCCTGCTCAAGCAGGGGCCTCTAGAGCATATTTCCCGGGATTGCATTCAGACAGGTTTTGAATATCTCCAGGGAAGGAGACTCCACAGCCTCTCTGGGCAACCTGTTCCAGTGCTCTGTCACCCTCACAGGGAAGAAGTTTTTCCTCAGGTTCAGATGGAACTGCCTGTGGTTCACTTTCTGCCTGTTGCCTCTTGTCCTGTCGCTGGGCACCACGGAGAAGAGTCTGGCCTCATCCTCTCAACACCCCTCCCCCCCTTCAGATACTTGTACATGTTGATGAGATCGCCTCTCAGTCTTCTCTTCTCCAGGCTAAACAGGCCCAGCTCTCTCAGCCCTTCTTCAGAGGAGAGATGCTCCAGTCCCCTCATCATCATGAACAATGACAGTAAAGTTTTATGGTTAACCCTGGAAGAAGACAGTCCTTTCAGTCCCAGCAAAAAGATTTTTAACCATAACATTCCTGGAGTACTGGCGGCCACTGTTATAAATAATGGTTATTTAGAATATACACAAAAAGTTTGTTTTTCTCCAATCCCATTAGTCTTTCCTATTGAAGAGTGACAGTACCTGCTCTGGGGTTTTTTGAGAAAAAAGAGCTGTTGAGCCTCCTGCTTCTTCAGAAGGATAGTCAGGAAACTTGCCAACGATATGCCTGTGCAAGAAACAAATGATGGGAAAAAAATTAAAATCCAAAATTTTTCACTGACTTGGCAAGAGTGTTAGATGATATGGGTGCATACCCTCACCTCCTATTTAAAAATGGAGAGGGCTGTCGCCTCTGGGCTGTCAACAGTGGTTTTTCTCATTTTTGTGGGAGTTTTTGGACCAGTAAATTCATTTAAAACAGTTAACAACCCACATCTCTTGTCACGTGGCCCATCAAACATTGAATGTTCTTGGGGAAGGCTTGATTCACTCAGGAAAAGATGTGTAGAGCCACTGCATGTTGAAACTCCAGT